TTTTTTAACTGTGCTCCCTAAACAAATTAAACCAATGCTGTAGACAAGCCCATATTACAGGTTTCCAACCAGCTCATTTTGCCTTCAGAACTGACTCACACTTAGAACATAAACACATGTGAAATCATCATTTCTCCCCCTAGAAAAAGCTGTTAGAAAGAGGTGAGAGTCTTTCTGTCCAGCTGCACACGATAGGCAGCAATGTGGTGCAGGGTAATATGTGCTGATAAGTGTCATTAATCTCCTCCCCTATTCCTTGTGCTCGTTTAGCAGCAGGAGATCCAGACTGGCCAGGCTGGGTGAATGCATGCATTTTTCCAAAGTACAGCAAAGTTCATTTGCCAGGACAGCAAAAAGTCCCTTAAATATAGGGTTTGTGGCACCTGCTGGTATTTTGTGGTCAGCTTTTTTAAGGGCCCTACAGAAGCTTGACATAAAGGTTGGAAAGAAATATTAAAAAGCATTAATGGAAAAGTGTTTGAAAAGTTAAGCATTCTTCTGAGATGTGAAATTTCAGACTCATTTGAAATATAAAAATGACAGGCTACTTATGTTATTTGAACAAAGAAAAAAAAAAACAGATTTTTAAAAGGTTTCTGGTTGATACATCTTCACTAATGCAGGCTGTGCAAGTAAGGACAGTTTGTTTGCTTTTTTAAAAGGGAGATCTTTTGCATTGATACTGCCATAACAACAACCCCAGCTTTTGTTAAAAAGAAAGCAGGCACAGCTTCTGGTGCAGAAAAGTGTTTAAAAAAACCCCACAAACCAGTATTTTTCTCATTATCCTGTGGGATAATGAGAGCTGTGGGTGCTCTCCTGTTGCCCTTCCCTGCCATAGGGGCAACTGTCCCCTATGGGATTTGCAGCCTCCTCTCAAGCACTACGTAGGGGATAGCAAATAAAGTGGGGTCCCAGTCCCCTGAGGAGCTGGGACGAGCAGGAGGACAGGCTGCTTTCGCCCCCGCAGCATCCATGTGGCTGCAACGCAGTGGGGCTGCGGTGTCCGTCGGGGCCAAGCGGGAGCCAACAGGGAGCCCCCCGAGGGCTCTGCTGCCTTGGTTGGGAGGTGTGTAAGACCCCATGGCCAGGGGAAGAGGAGAGGGGTGGAGGAGGAGGGATCCAGGCAGTTTCCCACTGCAATTGGTTTTGCTGCCCAAAAGCTCAGTTTTCTCCAGCCCTGCCAGACGGCTGCTGTGCCCCAACAGAAGCACCTGTTACTCTGCTGGGCCAGAGCAAAGCAAGTGCATAACAAGGCAGTAAGAATATAATTAGGGAAAGGGCTCACAGAGGCATCCCGAGGTCTGTGTTTGAACTCTGACACATCAGCCTGTGATTAAAAGCGTCCCTCTTCTCCTCCCAAGAGATGTTTGTTCACCTCTGCAAACCGGAGTGTAAATTGGTTGCTGCTAGAGAGCTCTGCTAGCAAAAGCCAGCACGGCAACTAGAAGGTGGATAGAGGAAAAACCAGCCTCCTCCTACCTGGCAGTCCTCTGGAAGGACGAGGTTCAGACGTAGATCACAAGTAGAGATGCGTGTTAGATGCACAACCAGCAAGCTGCCAGGTCAGCACTTGGGAACAGCGGTGCCTCTGGAGCCTACGCTGCAGAAAAACACGCTCCGATACAGAATAATTTAGGCAGAAAATACAGCATTTCCATAAAGGTTTTAGGTTATTGGGCTGTACTGGAATTGACAGCTGGCAGTGCCTACCGTGCCTTCCTAACCTCGCCAAGCAGACGTGCCTCTGCCCGTGCTGGGGCCGGTGGCAGGCAGGCACCGCAGCGGCAAGGCTGGCTGCCAGCAGCCA